TCGTTCCTGGAGAACTACGCATAATAATGGAAATCGATTGGGATGTATGGTACAGTACTTCATTTTTACAAACTATCTCGTCCCACAAATGTTTCTGACGCTTGCCATGTGCTGTCATCAGCTGCATCATGTTTCTCCAATATATCAGTGCTGCTTGAGTTTGTCATCCAGAACGGAATCCTAAAAACTCTTTAATTAGGGCCGGTTCGACCCGATGTGCAGGTTGTTCGTCCCACAATGGCGTCACTGTACCGGGGCGCCAAAATTGGATTTACGCCACACAAAATTAGCACTTACTACTTAGTGGCTGGCGCCCGTTTGGATTAAAAAAAAAAACATGCGCCCGTGTTGCCTACAGTTGGGTGCCACCCAAAAAATAGAAGATGCAAATTTTAGAGGGCTTATTTATTGTTTTGGCGCCCCCTATATCTTGGTGACATTTTTTATTACAAAAACAGCAGGCCTACACTTCAGCCTATCATTCACCCATTGTGCAAAGCAAAATTTGGCTCTACATTTTTCAAAAGTTCTCATTAAAAAAAGCAGGCAAAGCAGCAAAAAAAGTATTTCATTTTTTAGAAAATGCCTAATTAAAATGCTCCACCTTAAACACATTTACCCTCGTTACAACACACATCATGATGTGCGCAGTGTCGTTCCTGGAGAACTACGCATAATAATGGAAATCGATTGGGATGTATGGTACAGTACTTCATTTTTACAAACTATCTCGTTCCACAAATGTTTCTTACGTTTGCCATGTGCTGTCATCAGCTGCATCATGTTTCTCCAATATATCAGTGCTGCTTGAGTTTGTCATCCAGAACGGAATCCTAAAAACTCTTTAATTAGGGCCGGTCCGACCCGATGTGTAGGTTGTTCATCGCACAGAGGCGCCACTGTACAGGGGCGCCAAAATGGGATTTGCGCCACGCAAAATTTGCACTTACTACTTAGTGGCTGGCGCCCGTTTGGATGCAAAAAAAAAAAAACATGCGCCCGTATTGCCCACACTTGGGTGCCACCCAAAAACTAGAAGATGCAAATTTTAGAGTGCTTATTCATTGTTTTGGCACCCCCTATATCTTGGTGACATTTTTTATTACAAAAACAGCAGGCCTACACTTCAGCCTACCATTCACCCATTGTGCAAAGCAAAATTTGGCTCTACATTTTTCAAAAGTTCTCATTAAAAAAAGCAGGCAAAGCAGCAAAAAAAGTATTTCATTTTTTAGAAAATGCCTAATTAAAATGCTCCACCTAGTGGAGTGAAACCCAGACTGCAATACTATATTTATTTGATGACCATGCACACCTCTTTTTCAGGACCCAATCAGTAGAAAACTGTAGGGTCCATTGTAATTGGGTTTACACTTTGGTAAAATATGCATGAAAAACATGACCATAACATTTTAGACATGATTCAATTAATAAATCAAGATTTGAAATGCATGAAACTGAATTATTCACATATTACAGTCAATAATTTCTCATCTATTAATTTGTATCCAGTATAGAGCTGAAACTCTGTACATGAGTAGCATAAAAATCAACTGAAATGTTAATATTTTGTCAAGGTGCACAGAAGATTCATTTTGGCAACTGCTGATACTATATACTCTAATGGAATACAGTCCATCAAAATTCAGTAGTAAGATAATCTTCTGTGTTATGAGAATGCTTTATGCTGTAGGATGACATATGCTGGCGAGGCAAAAAAAATGTTTCCGTAAATTTAGAATAGAAAATAAACATTGAGGAAAGGGACGTGATTGATTGAGCGATGCAATTGACTGATCTCTTGAGAAGCTACAAAACAAACCCATTTTGAACGTGACTTCCGTGTGTTGCGGAGTAAAGTGTTTTTTCTGAATACAGGCGAGGCTTGTCATTTGTGAGAGGAGAAGCACTTGACGCCACACGCCTGTCGTTGAGACATCCTGAATATGCATCTCTATTTTAAATTTTCTCTATTTTCTATCCGTATTTTTTTATGGAAATGGTCCAATCTCTAAACTTTCTTCGTCCCTCTGCTGCGTATACGTAACCTTGGCACATGGTTCGATGAAATCATCAGAAATTCAAAGTTACGGTCGACAAATTTGGGAAGAGTTGACGTGAGGAATCCCGTCATCCCTGATGGTTTTACTGAAATCGAAAGGTCTCGAGCGTGACTTGGAAGACTGGTGAATGAATATTAAATTTGCGTTTGGGTTTTTTTTTCGAGTTGTTTTGCTTGCGAAACACGCAACGCGCGGATTTCATGTGCAGTCGCACTAACATTCCGAAAAGGCTGGACTGGAAAATATCGTTAGTTTACTTAAAAATATTTCTAGTTTTTAGATCATTTTATAAAAAGAGTGGATTCCTTCACTAACTCCCGGCGAAGGCAAAACCGTCATATTTTCTGCAAGAAATGGCTTTTTTTTTTTAGCATTTTCAAAGATGCGTGTACAGAGTACAGTACTTCAAATGTCCGCAAAAGTAATTTATATTGTGCATTACAAAGCACCTACCTCTGAGAGTATAATCGTGTTTTTGCCACCATGTTCTTTTTTTTTACCATATAAAGCCCTGAAAATTCCACGAACTTGGAATTGTTTGCTTACCTTGGTAACTCGGAAATAATTAATTGACCGATATTATTTTTCCAGTACATATTGAGGGAATAGTGAATCGGTCATATTACCACACATTTTATGGTTTCTCAGTTAAATTGCAACGGAGATTCATGACATAAATTATAAAAAGACATATCTATGCGTAATTTACGGTATATAGGCGTAAAAGATATTTCCATGCAATTAACCTTGAATATTGTAAGCACTGTGTTGTAGGGTTTTTTGAATGATATATACACATCTTGTTCTGCTTCATGGCCTACACTTACTGCACGACATCTCGCACGATTAAAATTATTTGAAAATAATAATGTGGACACGTATTTATATCGTCTCTAGCTAAAATATAAGCGGTTGTTCGAATTTGAGGAATTATTTCCCATCTATATGCATAACTGGTCTCTCTCTTTTCCATATGTGGTATTCCATAAATAATAAAGAATGTATGTGTGTGTTAGTGGGGTTAACAACCAATCCACAGAGTTTCTCTACCTTGTTTTCACCTGGTGACGATTGACAATGATCAGAAAATTTCATGCAGTAGCTCATAAAGTTTTAGTTGATGACATTTAGTCGTCTGCCTGCTCGACTTGGCAGCCAGCTCAATGTTCTCAAAAATAAATTCAGGATTTAACCGGAAGTATGACCAACACACGTTACCCCGCCCTTTTCTCGAATATGATCGCTTTCGTTTTTTTCGTAAAGAATTTCTTACCTTAAATAAGGCCGAAGGCGTGTATAGCGTCTGTGTTCACACTGAACTGATGAAGACGATATGTAAGGATGGGCATGAGGGTCCAAAATTGGAGGTCTCTATATATGAAAGTTGCAACGAAATAAAATGCTGGGGGGAGAGATAATCAGTCCGGGGAAAAAATACTTACCCGAGGGGGAATTCCAGAGGTTATACTGTATTGGGTTATTGTATCAGTGAATAATACATTTTGTTTTGTCATATATACTGGTATATATGAATCTATCCCTGATGATTTAAAATATAAATTTCTGAAACTTTCGAGACCAAAAAAATTTGCGCGTTATGCATGATATTTTCCCCGTTTTTGGTCCTGTTTTTTTAAGAATTCGAACTTATTCAAAAATGTTTTTTATTAATACTGTACAGTACAAGTAAATCATATGAAGAAATCTCCAGAAAATATCCATCAGCGCATAAAAAGTTTTGCCCCGGGTGAGGATCGAACTCACGACCTTAAGATTATGAGACTTACGCGCTGCCTACTGCGCTACCGAGGCGGTTGCATCAGAGGTGTACTTTTTCTTTTAAGTGAACGAGAATAGGGCATGCGGCATTTCACATACACCAAGCCTCCCTGATTTGCAAAACTTACAGTTGAATCATGTACTGTAGTCGTGGATATTGCATCCATTGTCCCACATATGCACAGTTAAGTTATAGCAATGTATATTGTATGTACAGTATGTTTATGTGCAATTTCACAAAGGAACGACACCACACTGTCGGCCGTTCAATAGGCCTATCCGGATACCCGTCAATATTCTTCCATGTATGTGTTGCCGTACTCGATTATTATTTGTACAAGAACAAAATAAAAATGTAATGTGTCCACTGCTAGTCCAAACAAAGAGGTAGCAGTCCTGTGTTCCTCTCGTGAAGTTTCTAATTGTTAGATACGTGCCTTTTCGGGTGTTCTTTGCTGCGTGTCGGTCGTATCTTGAGAGGGTATAATCCGCCTGCCACAAGTATTGATAAAGTTTTCTAACTCCTGTTGCAGATCACTTGCGAATCGCCTATGTTGATGTCATTCTATTTGCCAGCATTGTTTTTTTAAATGGCCTGAACGAGATCGGTCTTGCTCCACGCGATGGCGAGAGTCGTGCGACTGTCCTTCGTTTGGATGCGCAGAATTCCATCGTGAACGGGTAATTACGGTTACAGACTCGCCCGTCCATCCCCTTTCTTCGTCGAGTCCTGAAGGTTCGTATTATCAGGAATCCGCTTAGAACGAGGGTGCTGTATAGAGTATTTCGGACTATTTCTAGATATCAGTCGGAGGAACTGCATCTTCAGTCAACATCCGCTCTGGCAAATCCATGTTCAACTCGAAGACCCTTCCGGATCTTATGATTTTCTTCTCTGCTATCGGTGAGTTGTTGAGAACCACATGCGATTAGACATCCAGCGGTCATGTGTGTATTTGTGGGATATTTTTGATGATGATGTACGAGCAGTCGTCCGTTCAGTTCAAGGAAGAGCATATGCGCGATAATCTGAGTAAATGGTCATTATAAGCAACGGCCTGACCCGTCAAGATGTTAAATTTTTAGACACTTCGAAATACTGCCTATAAAAATGTATACTGAACAGAGTTTCAACTGCATGAGTTATTGAAATAGCTAATGTCACCTTCGTTCGTGAGTTGTGAACATTGTAGTAATATTTTTTATCGTAATTTTTTTCCTCAGGCCGTTGGACGTGATATGTACGTGGGATCTCAACCAGGAACGTCGGTTCTTCATCATCACCAGAGTAGCGTAGGATCCAGCTCTATTTACAGCAGCGAAGCTGCAGTTGTGGGCAGAAGCGAACAATCACAGCAAGAGGACCGCCGTTGTCGTGAAGACACGCACATTCACAAGAAGAGACGCCTGGAGCGTGGCGCGTATCCTTGCTCTTGTGACGACTGTTCCACGAATGGACACCGCTTGAATGTTCTCGCAGACAGTAATCACCGAGTTTCCGAGCGGGATTCACACCATGCGTACTCTTCGCATCACGAACGACGACCTACTCGGTGAGTCAAGATTATGATTTTTGAGGTTTTCGGAAGGGTTTTCTGTGTCCGCGAAATAACAGTGCAGTATAGTACTCGAATTATGCGGGGAATGTTCTGAATGCATTCGGATCAGCGGAAGAAGGGATGTCATGAAATGGAAGGTTTCTACGAGAGATGATGGACATTTTATCCGTTTGTATTTTACTTATTTTCTACCCATTGTTAATCCGCAAATCGTCTCGATTTATGAGATGTTATGAATTCTCGAATTGTAACGCATGATCCATCACCGAATTGACCTACAATACCTATTTGACCGTGCAAACTCCTTGTGGCCATATTTCTTGAACCCTTCATGTTCATTCTTCTTCATTCTCACTCTTTTTTCCATGATGTTCTAACCCCTCAAGTCGTTCACCACTGTTCTACAATCAGTTCCGTTTATTCAGAAACGTACCTCTACCACCAGGTGATAAGGATTCGGAACAATCGATGCAGAAGAATAAGTTGAAAACGATGTGTCCCATTTCGTACAACGAAGAGAGCCTTCATTTTGTCCCCATCCTGACCTTCAGTTTTCGAGAAACTTTTCTAATAAAATATTTTTGACCGAATACAATTTAAACCATGGATTTTTCGTAAGCCCTGCAAGTCACCAACAAATTGCACTTATCGGAGAAGAGACACAATCGATCAATCAGTACCTTCTTTTCTCATCGAATAATGAGATTTCATTCCATTACCATTCAAGGAAGCTGAAATGCGATCTATAGTGTAATGATTTTTAGGACCATTACTTTAACCCTACGATGAGCCTAAGGTATGCTTGTCTCGAACTATTGTACCCACCTGCAATTCCCCGCTGGGAATCCTTTCATCGACTGACGCCTACTATGAATGCCTTTTCCTCTTCTCTTTTATACTTGGTAACATGTACTGTATATACAGTACCCTGTACACTGTGTACAGTATTATACACGACTGTATCTGTAAACCAAGAGTAAGTTACTGTGAGTGATAGTTCTGTTTTATCCCATAATTATGGCGCTTATGTGATTCGCAAAAATCTGAAAATGTCCATGACGCTTTCGGTTGTCCCATCTACAGTCACTTCTGAAAACCCGTTTCGCATTCGAGGCATCTCGTGAAGTCTTGGATTTAGCCGAGAGTATGATTTTGTTTTCTATTGTATAGGTGTCGCCGCAATTTTGCTACCCTCTGTTGAGGTTGTCCGTTTCCATTCATTCTAGGGCTTCCGTTGACCCAAGATTCGAGCTTTGTCTCCTTGTCTGAATATTCAAAAGCGAATGTGAACGAGAAAATTTCCCCATTCTATGGTTGAAGGAATGTATGATGTCGCACTTGTTGAAAGTCGTGAAACAAATCTTGATCTATTCAGAGTTCAGGGTAACTGGTTACAGTGTCTGAAACACATTTGGTGTCAAATGCAACCGTGTACCGAGAGATCACCACATTGGTTTCATTCGGGAAAGTAGAGTCGGGAAGCCAGTCAAACTCACCGCTGCTTCTGCTGCTGCTTGACCACACAATCCCCTGTTTAAACTACAGCTTGAGCAAATGCTAGGCTGGGGGAGAAGTTCCCAACGAATCACCTCTCGTGTTTCCCACCGAGGGCATTTTTATTTTCATATGAATATATATGTATATTCTTTTTTCCTTCGGTGAGTGAGGGGAAAGAGCCGAGAACCGAGGAGGCGTGTGTGCTGATGAGGATTCCCGGTGATTGCCTCCTCGTCCGCTTGGGATTATTATTTTTTCTCTTTCCTAATCGCGCTCGAGGAATTTCCCCCGCAATATCGACGTGGAGCGAATTTCTGCTGAGCTATTCGAGCAGTAAAAAGGGGAAAATTTTCGATTCAATTCGTTTAGTTGTCTAATAACAGGCGACATTCTCCCACAGTTTTGCGACGCCCGATTCCCGACGAAATGGCTGTTTTTCAAGCGTGTTTCCGAAACTCTTTGAACGCGTTTCCGTCCCTCGAAATTTTAGAAGAGTTTTGTTCAGGTTTACGAAGTAAGTTTTGACTTGGCTATGCGTTTTGTTTGGGAGATTTATGCTTTCTACATCATGTTCTTATCTTGATGCATTGTTGTTACGTGTAGTTAAGCGCCTCTCTGAAACAAAATTCAAGGGCCAGAAAAGTGATTCGTTGTAGAAGGATTTTCAATGTGAAGAACCCCTATAACAAGGCGAGAGAACCCTGCGTTCTAGCGACCAAAACAGAATTCGTGATACAGGTACTGAGAAAGTGGTTGTAGAAAATATCGTTTAGAGAGTCCACCTACAATGTGTTCAGTTTTGCGCTAAATTTCGAAAATTTAATGATACCCGGAAATGTGTGTTAATTCGCGGGTTAATTTGTTTTCTTCTTATTTCTGAAGGTCAGACTAGTGTCTATATAGTAAATCCTAGAGGCGTGATCGCTGTTCCTTGGTTCTTCAAGCTCCTAATAAGGTACATTTTCCTTGTTAACGCTACAAATTTTTTAACAAGTTGCTGTATTGTAAATATCTTCGAAAAACCCGCTGGTACTCGAGCGACTAGTCATTCCTGTGAAAATGAGTCAGTCACAAGTTTCTGAAGTTGTTTCAGTATAACATTTGAAAAAGAAGCTTTCTGTCTCGTTCTTGTCTCATTTGAAAAACGGTAAGAAGTTCTTCACTGTAAGCGAACAGGTTCGACTATAAATAAAGCAGATCGATGTTGCGAATTCGAAAGAAATTCTGAGATAACTTGCTTTTGGAAATGTCTCAAAAGGAACTGGAATTTCTTCCCGATCGTGCCTCGTGTGACGTTATCCTGAAAATCCTCCTCGCGGGGAAGAACTCTGGAAGGTTGACGGTTTTTTCGAGACATTCGCTTGTGACGCAGCAAGAAAGACAGCCATCGTAGTGATATCCACAGAATTCATGTAAATTTTATGCATGGCATCTTTTAAATTTTAATGGTAATCGTAAATTTGCGTGGCTGCACGCTGTGAAAACGGTTTTTGCGCTTTTTTGGAACTAGTCCCTGGCAAGTTGCGGAACATATATTGAGGCTGTGCAAAGCGTGGGATTGTGAACGCAGAGTCTAAATGCTGAATTTATTCCCATCAGAAATGAGTTCTTTATTGTTGTTGATGTTCTCCGTTCATTTCTCAGAAGACAGTAGTTTCGCGTGTATTTTCTTGTGTGAAGATTTCATTTGAATGGATTCACATTTTCGGTCCGCCCGAGGAAGTGGCTTTTTTCAAGCGAATCTGAGACGCAATCGATTCTTATCTTCCCCATGATTTTTCGTTTCTGAAATTATTCTCCCTCGTATTTGAGTCAGTGTTGATTGCAAATTTGGTGTTGAAGGATTTCATCTGGATCTCCCCCTTGAGAATGCTCTTATAATTCAATACTTCATTCCGTTGGGTTTGCCTTCGAGCACATACACAGTCCTTCGAAATTCGAATACTAACCCCAACAACATCGGTCGCTGCTATCAGGTTCCTTTCGCCTCTCAAGGAACAAGTGGTAAAAAGAGAATCGAACCATGTAAGACTCCTGATTTTATGGAAGATTCGTGATTTGGGAAAAAATAAGTCCCGTACTAGTTTCTCATGGGTTGAATCAGACATCAAACGTGATGCTCTGTTTTAAAATGCATGAGCTTTTTCGAAATCCTTATTCTGGACGTTTCGTTAGAAAATCAGCGATTCCACGTTGCCTTGGAACTTTCGAAACAAATATCTGAAGGCATCAGAAAAGTGAAGCTTTTTGAATGAATCGCTTCTTAGTCGTATTTCAGGCTAGAAATAAGTTTATTCTTCGAAAAGGAATAACAAAGCGCGTTGTTCGTGATGCATGACGGACTGTTGTGCCGAATTTTCCCGAATATAAGCCTCGATCTAAAAAAAAAAACAAAAAAAAAACGAACGAGGAAGCAGCCTATTGATTACGACTCGGACGTAAAAGTTTCTAAATGTATCCCCCGAAATGATTGACTAAAATCATTGTCCTTATTTGCGTAAAAACAGGATCGCTTTGCGTCCGATAGTTGGGTTACGAATTCTTTTTTTAAATCAAATTATAAATGTTCGAAATGCGTAGGGAGTCCAGGTGTTTGAGGAAATTGAGCTGATGACTGCAATATTGCCAAAAGCAACCGACTTCTCGAATTCGGAATACTGTTCGTATAGTATTCATTGTGTGAATTGAAACCACCGTACTGCACGTCGTTCATTTTCGGTCAAGAATTATAATGCTCGTATTGCATTATATACGTGCATCTCAGGGATAGCGTCTCACGTTATCAAGTACATGTCCACTATATTTTTTAGCAGTCGTTTGTAACTAATCATTCTCTGGCTCCCGGAGCAACTTCAAGATTTGATCTTTGAGCGTGCTCACGCGAACATTTTTTCTGAATGTTTCCTTGTTATATGTCGTATTTTCCGAGTTTCTCACAACTCTTGAAGGATGTCGTTCTCTGTCCTTCAAACCGTGACACTCGTCTAGTTTTTCCCTTCGAACTTCTGCTTCGGTCTTCCTTTGTTTGGTTCGGAGACCGAGGAAACGAACGAATGGAGCAAATCCCGTCCGTGTGTATGGAGACACGAGACTGCTCCACTCTCTTTCTGGGATCTGGCTGAATCGGCTAGAATCGCGTTCGCCGCGATTTCGTGCTTGTCGTTCGTGCCGTTCTGGCGCGGCTTTGTTGGACGAAAAGTCGTGACAGTGCTTGTGTGGAACAGTATTGAAGAACAATGCCGACGAGAAACTCTGCAGCGTTTCTTCTGCTCGGTGCTCAGTGTATTTCTTTCTCTGTTGAGAACGAGCATCTTAATTTGGGCTTTTTTTGTGTGTGAAAGTCCGTGGTGTCTGGAAAAAAAAGTGTCGTGTAAGCGGAGGAATCGCATTTATGACGTTATTTCGGATGTTTGGTGAAAGCGCGGATGGAAGTGCATTGGAATCAGCAATGAATTTCCAGGTTTTGAATTATTGATGACATTAGCGATAATTCAGCACTGTACATTTATCTTCCGTATTGATTTAGAGTTTTAGACGACTTGCTTGTGTGAGATGCCCAATGCAGTGCCGTAAAACGTATTTAATGGTACTGTAATACGATTTTATGTGAACTCGTGAACATAATACTATGCTCCCGACATATTCCGGTTTGTGTTCGACAACTTGCGGTATTTTTTGCAAAAATTTGTGCATGCCTCTGCGGCATTTCTAGCACTGTCGTTAATTTAGCACGTGAGCAAAAATTCCAATCTCATTTTTATGACTCAAGATCGATATTCTGAATGAGGTACTCATCGTTTCTGCCCTTCGGTGTTCAGTTTCTGTATTGTTCATCGTGTATTTTTTTCTTATTGAAAAGACGAAAAAAAAAACGCATGACTAAAGGGGGGCCAGGGTATTCAAGACTTCACTGCACAGAAGGAAACATTTCTTTTTTTTTTAGGTTATAAAGCTTTGATGGAAATGTAGTGGGAAGTTTATCGAAATCTCCTGTGCATATATCGGGTATGTCGATTGCTGAAAGCTAAACCAATATAAGAAATCTACGATGGTTGATTTTTCTGTAGTTCTGTGCCAATATTGGGAAACCCCAATTGTACAAAAATTTCATTATGCAGAGAAAATCGTTGTCGACGAGATAGTTGTATAGATAATCCACTTGTTTTACTTTTACTTCAGTATGGTGCCAATGGTATGTGTTCCACCAGTTGGAATGTTCCTATGAGTTTTAACGTCTTTCTTCGTTCTTTTAAAGCAAGCATTTCAAGTACACTACTTGAAAATTTTGGTACTGTTTGCGTTCATCATGCACCACTGAGAGAACCCCCAGACTTAGTCGGGATTATGTACCTCATCGTGAAATTACAATGCCGTTTGGACTGCTTGGGACATCTACACAAAATACTGTAATTCAACTAGCCGTGTTGCATCGGCAACGTAAATTCTGGTGTGTCAAGTTCCTTGATTATTATCGATTTTTTTAATTTTTCTAGCTGAGTTCCATTTACGCTTCGAATCCGATATCACCGAACTTGGTCGCTTAAAACTAATCTTGGTCAATTTTCGAAATTTATTTGAACTCTTCCGAGGCTGCCCTAAAACCAATCTTCGATCTAGGAATTTCATTCTCGGTGAAATACGGAAGAGAGCATTATTTCCAATCGACAATACTTTGAAATGAATTGAAGCCTGCATTTTGTTATTTATTTAAAAAGTCGTGTTCTGAGCTCGTTATATGAAGAAGAAACTTGAGTTATGTCTTTCCGTTATGGAATAAAAGCGACGTTCGAGAAACACGCGAGGAAAATCGTGTATCGAAATAAAATCCAATTACCCTGATTTCTACGTTCGTTCGAGGGTGGGATGCCAAAAATAACAACAGTTCGTCGTATCGAGGAACTTGACGGCTTGATGTCCGAGGAATACGTTGGGTTATTTTCAATCCCGGCTTTTTTTTATTAAAGAACTTCGATGACGTTCATATTTCTCCTCCGTGACACTATGTATTGCGAACAATTCAGTTCTATATTTGCACTGTTCGTCCGTTTTTTTTTATGGCGAGACATTGATTTGTTTTTTTGGTGGAAGCACCGACATTTTAGGCATACTATCTGTTACAAAATTGGAGTAATTTAGATCCTTCCAACTTGGGACATGAGTTGGTTCATGAGTACTACTTTTCGTAGGAACGATTCCCACCGTTGACTTTCTGTTCAGCGATGGATGAAATTTCCAATGGGTTTCTGTTGGAAGTAACGCATGGTCGAAACGTCACACGGGTGCCGAAAGTGATTCTTTCAAGGAGAAAAGAGTTGGGAAATGTTTCCACACATCGCTCGTTCTCGGAAGGTTTCTGCACTCCAATTAATTTTGCGACCTTTATATTCTTCTGACAACTTTCAACGGACCACGTAATCTAGTTTTCAATTTCCTCCGTTGTCGCATAGGTGTCGCCTGAACACTTCATAGCATATTTTAGCGCATACTTCATAGAATTTTTAGTGCGTTTTGTTCATGGTGGAACCTCAGTTCAGGTATTTAATGTAGTTTTACGTCGAATTTTATTGCTCCTTTCATGTACTTTACATGCTTGTTCTCAATTTTTTAAAATATTTTTCTCGTTTATTTTGCTGAAATGATTCAATGAGATGAAACGTGATCAAAACACAGAAAGCATCGGTATCGGTTGAAAATGTGAAACGCATCGAATTTTTTGAATACGGTATCTTGAAAACATGCTTTGGTACTCAAGTATGCTTCGGGGTATTTGTCCTTTCTGAATACGAAAGCTACGTGTTTTTGGCAAAATTGGAGCTGTGAATCAGAAGATTCTGTGTGAAGTCAAGTTTGTGTCTCGCGATTCCGACGCGAGATGTTTGTTTTATCATCAGTTCTTTTTACCCGGTCTTGAAATTCAATTTTGGAGCTGTGATCAAGTTATCGTTCAACAGTCGTCAAGTACTGTGTTTTCATTTTGGATGCCTTTTGTAGTGCACATCTCACTACTGTGCTTTACTGTACATCTATTGCTACATCCCATGTCGTATCAAATGTTACATTCCAACTGGGCAAAGTATCCTCAGTGTCGTTGAGAATTCATCAGTGAACTCGCGAAACCCGTGGCATTAAGCGAACGTGAACCGTACGCATTAATCTTGCTTGACTTTCATGAACCACACGGGAAACCGAATTCATTTCCCATATACTGTACATTACAGTACTGTTCTAGGTCTTATTATCGGACTTTTTAAAATTGTTTTCTCTCGATGCAGCTCAAATGAATTTTTCGGTTCACGCGTGACGACAAAAATTTGAAGATAAGAATTAAAAATTGGAAAGACGAACAAAAAGAGGAATTTCGGACGTTGAATGAATGTGAAGCGAAACCAGCAGCCGATGGAATCGTGTGTTCAGGGGACGAGTGATGAACGTCGGCGTGCTAAGGTGGGATTGCGGCCTGTCGTGATTCCCGTCGCGCGGAGAGGAAAATGGCCCAGGTTTTCCCCGTGCACTGGGCCAACATCGCTGAGCAATGGTTTGTCCACGTCTATGCTCTTATTTCATTTTTTTTTCACCGCGCGTGCGACGATTTACAAATGTAAATAAATATATACGAGTATTTTACAGTGCAATATTTTATCCTCTTGCGTCTGCACGGAACGTCTCTCTCACTCCGTTCATTGTCTTCATTTCCTTTTTGCGTTTTGGAAGCAAGTTTCCGAGTCGCTGTCCGTTTTCTGTCTGTTCATTTCGCCCAAAACTTGTATTTCCCCATCATTTGAGGACGGGAGTACATGTACCTGAGCTCGTACTGTCGAAGCCGAGTCCGAATCATGGCTTCGGTTATTTTTATTCTTTTGACAGGCGTGACAGAAGTTCCTCTTGGCTAATGTTCTGAATCCACTTGGAGTGTGCCTGTCGGGGGATAACATGGGTGGCTTTCACGGCAGGATGCGACCATGCTAATGTGTATCAAAAATTGTGAAATAATTCTTCCTTCTTCGGGGTTCTGCTCCTGCAATGTTCCTGTATTTATGTGACCATCTGTCAACCTACGTCCAAGGATAGGAAAACTGCTTAGATGGGGTTTCTGACGGTTGTTTTCAGTTAATTTATATTTAAAAACAGTAATGCTCAATGTGTTAAGTTGTAAGTGTACTTAATTAGAAGAGCTTAGACTATACAGTTTGATAACTTATTTTGACATCAGGTTGACCTAGTTGTACATTGGGATGACCTGGTTGGACATTAGGTTGACCTAGTTGGACATTGGGTTGACTCAGGTTAACTCTTGGACTGACTTAGTTGTGCAACGACTTCACCAGGTTCTGCACCATCATGAGGTAGTTGCAATTTTTTTAAAGTTACAGTACTTAGCCATAAGAATGATGTTAGCAGAAAGTTGGCGTATTTGGTAGGTTTTATTTTTTTAGCTAAAACTATATTATGTACATACTATATTTTTTATTATAACTCGGTTAGATGGATGTGAGTACGGGTATTGAAATACTGTAGTTTAGTTGGGTTGTCATTGTTACAGCGGCGGCCCTAAAAACATTCTGGAAAGGGGTATTGCTTCTTATGCAAGGAAGAACTTGCGATTTCCGCTTTGACAATTCACGACGCCGTAATGGACTAATCATGATTCCTGTTCTGCCCCGTCCCATAAAAAAGGAGTGTTAAGACACAACTTACGCTTTAAACACGAATGATGGGCAAAAATATTTTTCATTTACCGTTGCGCAACCTTCCGCAAGTTAACAAGAATTCGTTTTGATGAATTGTGAGGAGAATAATCTGCACTCTAGTATCATTGCGTTGAGAAAGTTCGGGATTCCGTCCGTTTGAGTGTCCACTTTTATTATCATGAACAATATATTAATATTGTTTACTTTATGTTCCGTCTTTCGTAAGATATTAGTTTTCTATGCGTTGGTTGCTTTTCGAACGCGACAAAAATCAAGTCGTGTGCATTCGAATTATCACACTCGAGGTTGAGCATGTGGAGGTCGTACTTGAGGATCCGGGAAACGTATTAGTGAATGTCCGCACAAGAATTTGCGTGAAGGTTTATTAGTCTTCGGGAAATGGCTCGTAAATGTACTACACTACTCTTTGTTGATGTTGACAAGGCTGTCCGGATTGACGCATTTACGAGTGACTTGTTTATTTTCTTATTTTTCAGCCCTCCCAATTATCCCCAGTCATCTCAAGCAAGCTACAGTCGAGCGCCGACCATCAAAGTAGTGGATTCTTCCCATAGATCGTGTGGAGTGAAGGTGAGTACGACAGTTTTTTTATTTTTTTATTATTCGATTAAATAGAAATAGTCGAAAGAAGAATGGATTGCTGAAAAAGTCCCGTAAAATCTATGGTGCAAGTGTGACGAGATTCTGAGCTGATCTACGTCTGGTTAATCTTTTGCGGGAAAATTTTTCATCTGAATAATTTTGAAACGAAGGCTGAGATTCTGAGGTTTTTGTTGATGTAAAGTCATGGTCCAAGAAAAATTTGTGAAGAAAATCCATGTCTCGAGCAAGTGCTGTGGTAAAATAAGTGCCACTGCGGAGAAATTGCCGAATAAAATTGCAAGTACTGTATACAGTAAACGTAAAACAGCCAACATTCGAAAATCGTCATCAACAGTTCCAATCATAAAACCCGCTGCTGGAACGAGACTGAACGATATTGAAAGCAACCAAAAATAATTATAGTAGATTAAAAAATTAATCTAAAACACATTTTCAAAAAGCAAAAAATAACCTTACACGTGGTGCGCATTAGATTTCTTCGACAGATTTGTGATAGAGGTATTTTCGAAAGTTTTTGTTTTTGAAAGGGACCCGTGGAAAATGGTGGTTATTGTTGGACACCTTTTAAGAACACCCATTGAGAAAAGAGAAATCCGACTATTGTCAAGAACTAAAAAGAAAAAATCGTTTTCATTACTGCTTTTCACCAGTTAATGCTGTGGTTTTTCGTGCTTTTTAATGTGCTTATACAGTGGTATAATCGATTGCATTTTCACTACAGTACTTCAATACATCAATTATCTGCAGAGTTTGGTGCTTTGCCACTTTCTTTTTCGATCGCAAAATTTAGCCCGAAAGATGCTCTTGATTCACGAATCACTGCGGGATATTCTTTCTGCATCAACCGCTTGAATTTGAAATGAAAATACTCTTTTCCTTTCTTTCTCTATATGTAACGTCGTAAATTCCTGTGGACGAAAAGCGGTCGTTTCCTTTTGTCGCAAGTTCAGTCAAGACTGTTCTGGTGTTTTCCGTTCCTGTGCGATCCATTCTTCTTTCGCGTCGGAACTGTTATTTCTCCCACTGACTGGCTCTTTGGAAACAGTCGGGGAGAATTGCGTTTCCACCAAGTATTTTCTTTCCTCGGCACCGGAAAGTCTTCTAGATCCATGCAACCGCCACGCTCTCGACCTCCCTCCTCACTATTTCAGGTGAGCGAACTCTTCAGGACTTCACGCGCGAAAACAAAGGTTTCACGCCCCCCCCCCCCGTTTTTCTTCTTCTTTGCGTGGTCGATGAGAAACGCGGACAATTTGACAGTCGCTCTCCGTAAAGCCTATGGGGCAGCGGAAAAAGGGAGGGATGAGGGTACAGATTGGATAAGTCCTGGTCGCGCGGGATTTGTGCATGCTTGCCGGCCGTTTCTTGTGAATCGAACCAACGTTTCAAGAATGCAGTTTTCGTGAAAGTGAACGGAATTTAACCCCGTGCCAAGATTTGCATCTTCTGGGTGCTGCTCTCGCCAAACGTGCTTTTGATGTTCGGAAGTCGATTCGCCGGCATTTTATCGAATGACGAAGCCACGAAACAACTTATTTGTCGACGTGTGTTACGGATTGAAAGAAAATATTTCCGGACACAATGCGGTATATTCGGAAGATCCAGCTTGAAAATGAGCCGTTATTCATATCGCAGTCGTTTCAAACGATTCAGCATGAGTGAAAATTTTATCGTAATGTAGTACTGTTCTGTAGTATATTCATGTACAATGAGGCAATTCGCGCGCCAGATTTTCCCATTCATCCACCTGTCCTGATGAAAAATCATTTGGGATACCGTGTGCTCGTATCACACGCACAGTTTCTTCTGAACTTGCAAAGAACAAAATATTTCTTTTCAGACTTAAGTACTATTCCAGTTTTAGTGCCGAACTATTTTAGTGAAAATGTTCATGGCTACAGTAATCCTTCATTTCATTAGTTTTTTGGAACAGTATAAGGCCCGTACTCTACGTACGGGCCTTATAAACTTGAATTCGTTATTTGCTGTAGCGTGTTTCAGTATTACCGCGATGTTGTGCAGTCCCACTGAGTTTATTCATTTCAAGAATGGTTTTTTAATTTCTCATGTTTTTATGTTGAACACGTCTTGTATTTGACGCCTGTATTTGTGTCTCTAAATATGGTAGCTAAATCCAGCATCCACCATATTACTGAAATTGATTCCTTATCAGCTGTTCATCTCTATAAATTTGGGTCTAAATTGGTAGGAGTATTCATCGTACGTTGAGGATGGTTTCCCAGGCGAAGTGGGGGATTTCTTGGGATTTATTGCTCAGAAGGAAGTATTCGGATGTGTTGGTGAAGCGGAAAATGGAAGGCCGTTACAAAAAGCGCTTGGAATGCGTAAAGTCAGTTCCTTTTCTTCTCTGAGCCGACCCTGAGAGTTCCTGAAAGCTTAAAGTTTTTCATTGAACTGATGTGGACAATCGCTTACATTTCAAACTTCCCTTCTATAGGAAATTATTATTGCTGATTGAAATTTGCCGCCTATTTTTTCACGCGGCAAGGAGGAGTTCGAAGAAATATTCTGATCACTGTGTCATTTTTTTTGTCGAGGTTTGGGTTCGAAGCTGCCAAGTGAGTTAGTCTTTTGAAATTCAGATTTAAGACAGAATTCTGTTATTAAATCATTTGGAGTACAGTAGTTTTCACGTTATATAGTTCTTGAAGATTCAAGCGAATGATGCTGTGATTTGAAATTGATTTCCCCCGACCGGTTTTGATTGCCTTTGTCTTCAAATTTTTCGTGTCTGAAGGATTTCCCAACTTTTCGTGCGATGAATCCCTTCTATGGCGGATCTCCTCGTAGTACACCCTTCGTCTGGTACTTTTTAGCATAAGGACATTTTTTGACCATGAGTTATGGATATAATGTCTCATTCATTATTCGCTATCTGCACTTCCATGACAAAATATTTATACTGTACAGTACTGTATTTCAACGTTTCCATCAATTTTCATATGAGCCACAGAGTTCATATGAGGGCAGGGCAAGAACCTCTGACATATTCTATGTTACTTTTCTTGTCTTAATTTCGAGATATGTAATGAAGTGAGAGCAAAGGCATCGGATGTCTGGATCCCTTTCGGTATAAGGTGCAGTATTTCACCAACTACTGTATTTGTTTTCTTGAATGACGGACTTACCGCTATTTGCAAAAGGCTGTGATGGACGCGCGGAAATCCCATCTGGAGAGAAAAATGAAGATGGACTCACGCGTTGACAGTAGCAGATTGCCTTTTACGGAGGCGCGAAGGAAGCCCCGAGTACTGGGCCGTGTTTGTCTTCCTACTTACATGTAATACGAACTGCATAATCAGCAAATGCTGTCTCGACGGCAAGATTCGCCGTGAGATCCTGTACAATACTGTGATCATCGGAACGGATGTGTGAGTTTTCTTCAGTTCTACTACCGTGACGTGCTTGATCAGTGCTGCTTGAAAACTGACTCGACATTTGTTGGTTTTGAAAGATGCATTATGAGAAAAATATTGTAGCGGTTGTCCAACGGAGAGATGGGATGGATGTAACGTAAAAACGTGCTGAATTGTTCGAAAAAGTCGGATCGGAGTTAGTGTTAGTTTTAAGAGACGGATAACAATAAGAAATTGTTCCCATCGAGATTCATTTTGTCCGAAAGTCATAGGATAATAACCTAGAATGTGTTACAGTATTCCAGTCGTTGATCGTTCGAAAAAGGTGTAGATTTGAATTCAAGAAGTTTGTGTCGATTTTGAGGTTCCAATTTTGAGGGTGGTGCAATTTATGTCGATTTTGAGGGTGTTGCAATTTATGTCGATTTTGAGGGTGTTGCAATTTATGTCGATTTTGAGGGTGTTGCAATTTATGTCGATTTTGATGGTGGTGCAATTTAAAACGAAAGCGTTTTTCTTGAAGTATGGTGTGCATTATGAATTTATAATTTTTTTCAAACTGTGTCGTACAGAAATTAGATAAGTCATTGTTATTTATTTAAAGATATTTCTTGTGAGAAAATGCTGTTCGACAATAATACGAGAATATTAGCCTGATCTTATTTCCGGGTTCACGCGGAAAAACTAGAAAACCATTGTTGCATTATTAAAAAGGGGATTAAGGTTCATTACAGCCTAATTTCCCTGTGCTGTTCTATTGCATCAAGAGGTACATCACCAGAAAATACCCATTTACTCAAAAAATGGTCAGGTTGAATCCAGGCGTGCGCTGAAATAGGCTCTTCTACTTCCTGAATGGCTCACAATTTTGAATGACATATGTAAAATCTTCGCTTGATTTTTTCGGATTTTCAAACCGATCCTGAAGAGACGATAGTTTTACTCTAACGTCGTCTCGTTCGTATAAATTCACAGACCAGAAATCAAATCCCTGGATTTTTGCCTGCGGCAATTCGATCATTCGCGAACTTTACGAGCCAGAAGAATCGACGTTACCGTTTCACTCTTTCGTAACCATTTCGTGGAAGGTAAATTTGACCCTGGTCCGTTTCTATGGAAAAATTCACGAGAATATTAGTCATGGAAAATTCCCTAGCATCGTCGGCATAGTAAAAGATGAAGTTCCTACCCATTATGAAACACTGCACTGGTCGAAGGTTCTCCATGTGCACCAAGATGTTGGTCCAAGTTTTCATGTGTCGTTTCAGTCACCTTTTGAGATTTTCCAAGATAGAGTAGTTTCGTGAGACGGGAAAAAAATCACGGAGAAAAGAAATTACAATTTGCCTATAGGTACTTTACCAAGGGGAGACGCTGTCGCGACGTCGAGTGTCCGGCGGCTTCGTGGAAACCGTGGCGGGGTATCTGGGGCACTGACCTGACTCGAACTTGCCCCGCGCTCACTGGCCTGATTTTTCCCCCCTTTTGCTTCCCACCCTCGCGTCAGTGTTGATACTCTGTTGCCGAGGGGACAAGGGAAACCAGATCAACGCTGGGGATACCGTGTTCAGAATAACGCGGATACTCTAGAACTCTCGATTATTCGGGCAGTGGTCTGGATAACCCATGTACGCGAAAATCTTACACTACCTGCATGAAGAAGATTTATTTCAGATGTTAGAAAAAAATTCAAAGATGGCCTTTCGTAACACTACTTGTATTTTACCTCACAGTACTAATGTAGTGTGTGAGGGAAATATCGTTCTGCATACGAATAACGTATCATGCCTAAATGAATTTTCCCATTCGTATAAAGGACATATCTGTAATTTGTAGAGATTTTGTTCGTAGTATGAGGGTGCAAAATTGCATTAAAAACGTTCTTTATACAAGAAGTTGGAAGTGCACTGTGCTTGTACTATGAGATACGACTTTAAAGGTGGACCTGGATAATTTGAACCTCCCGCAGTCGAAAACTTTCTTTGTCAAATGTTTTCAGACCCAGTTCATTCCATGAAGAACAATGCATAACAAACTTCACTAATTCGTAAACTTTTCCCCTCGAACTTATATAATTCGAATTTTTGGAAGATTCTGGGTTATTTTACTGGGTACTCGGAAAATAAAAAAGTAATGAAAATGTGACTTATGCTTTCTAAAAGGAAGTGATTCACTTGGCAAATGTATTCTTGTCTTCAAGTTCA